GATGATGATGATGATGTCCCCTGGGCTGCAGCTTCTGCTCTCTCTCGTCACTCGAATTGCTGCGTGATTCCGGCGGAGAGAGCACCAGTCCCATGCCGGTCCCGGGAGCCGTCCAGGCCTCATGGCCCTGCTGCTGGCCTCCTTGTTGACTGCCGCCCTCAAACTGCTGCAGACGGGCGACGGGGGCTCTGATGGTGGGACTGCGCCTATGTCTGTGCAGGTACGAGCTGCTGGAGGGCCGCTGGAAGCTCACGGCTGGCTCTGAGCAGTGACGTCCATGCCGGCGGACAGGGGCAGATCCAGCTGCTGTAGTCGTGGTGGTGGTGATGGTGGTGGACGACGCCGCGGTGGTAACTGATGCCGGTCCAGTTCCCGGGGGAGCCGACGAGGTTGCAGTAGGCGAAGGGGGAGCGGACGAAGGGGATATGTATGGCATCCGGCCTGTTTCGTCTCTTCCTGGCTCTCCTACACCGGCCGTTAGCATGGTGTATTTGGTTATCTAGATAGAGAGCTAGACGGTGCGGTCGATGGAGACTGTCGATCCACAACTCCACTTACAGCCCAGCAGTAACAGACGAGACAGAAAGGTCGAACTGATCACTGCATCAAGCAAGGTCTTCTCTTTATGAGGCTGGTATATAATGGTGCTGCTGGTGGTATCCCGGGGGGAGTGTAGTGTAGTTTTGGTGCTGGTGATGGATCCAAGCGAGCGAGACAATCCACCAGAGAAGAAGAGAAAAAGGAGAACAACAACCACGACGACGAAGAGAAGAAGAAGAAGAAGAAGAAGAACTTGCAAAGAGAAGAGAAAAGACGGAGCAGGCCAGGGGGGGAGGAGGACGTTGATAAAAGAGGACGCGGAGGCCGCAGGTTGAAACTAAAGCTGGCGGCGGATGCAGATTTCTTGCCGTCAACCTGGTCGCCACCGGTAGCGCAGACGCAGCAGCTCGCTCGCTCTTCTCTGGGTCGGGAGGTCAGCAACAGCGACGCCGGCCAGGATGTGACAGGGACAAGGCGAGTCACGGAGAGCAGCTGGCCAGACTTCTTCTTCTTCTTCTACTTTTCTCTTCTAATTCTACTCTTCGTCGTCTTCTTCTTTTCTACTGCTTATCGGCCCCACTGCGAAACTCGGGGCGGCGACTCGAAGCTGGCCCTGGACGCTGCACGAAAGGTACCGGGTACTTCGAGCTTCGGCTTCCTCCCTCTGGCCGTCTGTCTCTTGTCAGTTACGGCTGTATTGCTTCTATTCGCTCTGTTGTTTCTGCGGTTCGGTTGCTCTATTGCTGTTGCACCACCCGGTGGACTGTCTATCGTACGACGCTGGCTGATGACCCTTTGAT